TGGGCTTCTCTGGTGCCCAGTGTCAGCCCGTGACCCAGTGTGCTTAGGGTGGTGTTTTAGCTGACAGCAGTTATGAATTGTGGGTTAATGTATGTGGCTTTTTTCCCCCTAGTGTTTGTTTATCAGATGTTATAAAGAAACAACTGGTAATTAAATTTGTCTATTATAATTATGTTAAAACAGTTCTATTGGGATGCAGTGCCATATAAAGGTCTAAGCGCAGGACTGGCACCTGGGAAGTCCTGGGTCCTCCATCTTTCTTTCGGTGCTGATACGGTTGTGTGGACTTGGTCAAACTACAGCAAATCAGAATAATCGGAATCTGTCCATGTGTTACAGAAGGAAATCACCCCTGTCTTGCAAATGGAAGGGATATATTTATGTGGCACAGCACCTCAAAGCAATGAACACTGTGCATGTAAGATGTCTTGGAGAGATTTATGTGGTGGATACATAAGCTGTCCAGATTGTACTTGGTTAGGAAGTGAAGTGCTTCAGGGTCTCACTGAACTGGCCACGTGATAAGCCCTTCAGAAGGGCACTGTGCATGTTCCTGGATTTTTTTTGGAGATGTTGAGTCTGAAATGATGGTACAGTGCCGCTGGCAGCAGTTTAAGCAGGTCACTGAAGCTGAGTGGTGGAGTAAGACCCGTGCCCAGGTAAAGGCCACTTGCAGAAGAGCTTGTTTCTAGTCTGCAGGATTTGTCAGCTTTGCTTTTTGGACCAGGACCTCCTTCCTCCTGGACTCTGTCACAGGGTCAGCTATCTTCTTCTCCAGAGCAGAGGAGTTTGTATGGGAAGTTGCCTGGTGACAGCTCCCAACAGAGCCCTCTTGGTGTTGGGATAGCAGTTGGGGAACATCAGCACCTACTCAATGATGCATTTAACAGCTGATAGCTCTTCAAGTGTTGGATGCTGGTGGTATTTTTGTTTACCTGAGGTCTTTTGAGTTACTCTTTGCAACTGCAAAGGTTAGAAATCTGTTGCTGTAAACATCAAAGTTGTGTTTCTGTTGTAATAAAAGCTGTGCTCAGGACAGAGGCCCTTAGTGCCTCTGCTGCTTCTGACCGTGGTGATGGTGGGTGGCTTCTTGGTGACTGCTGAGCAGGGAAATGACATACGGTGAAAGCATGTTAAGGTACCTGTAAGCAGGCCGTGAAAACTTCCCAGCAGCCAAATGTTTGTCCATAGCCAAGATAAACTAATGTTCCAAGTAATGACTCTTCCGGGTAGCGTTTCCTAGGGGTTTGTTTGGAGTTGGAAGTGTCATACCTGGGCTTATTCCCAGCTCTACACAGCCCTGTTGAGAGACTTGAATTGCTGATGACTGCCCTACACAGTCCTCTAACTGTTGTCCACCTGGAGTGCTGTTGAATTTGGTGGGGATTGTAGGAGCTCAGCACTTCTGAAAATCAGTTTGCAAATTTGTCCTCTTTCCTGTCTGAGGCTCCTTTAACCACTGTGGTGTGGGAGGGTGATCCCAAATTCATCATTTGTAAGTGGCTTTGTAGTTCACAGTGTATTACACTTGATGGCCTAAGCGTACTCCCTGTACCCAGGTGCTGTAGTGGCCCTGCTGTGTCTGCTGCAGGGGCAGGAGTAGGTTACCTTTGTGTGTTGCATAGCAGTAATGGGGGAGGGGGGGAACTCCATAAAAGAAAAAAAAAAAAAAAACCCTAGCAGGATGTCCTGTTAACATGTTTTGGTTTAGAGGGCAGTGCGAGTCCACCAGCTTTCTAGGTTTTAATGTAATAGAATGTATTTAGTATATTAATCCTAATACGTTTCAGCAGCTGCTTCCACAGCCTTCACGAGGAGCTTGGGAGAGTGGTTGTCATCACTTCAGCATCCTCCTACCCCTCTTCTGAAGACTCTTGCTGTGGCCAGAGGAGCATGGGCACAGTTTCTGTGGAGGTGCTGGAGAACATAGGGGATCGCTTGTGACAGTATTTCAGGCAGGTTGTCTCAACTCCCTGGTCTTTGTTGTAAGATTTAAGAAAAGAAATCTTTTCAGGTTTGGTATAATCTTTCTTTTCTTGAACAGTTTTCAGAGGTGGCTGCTGGGTACACAGAGTCAGCAGGCACAGGCTGTGCTGGGGGTCTCAGCTTGTCTCCTGGGGAAAAGAGATGATAGGATCTGCTACATAATAGTGTGTCACCCAGTCCTGAGCTTGAGGCCATGGAGCTGCTGTTTGCTGGCCACCGTGGTGAACCCAGGTTAAGAAATCCTGCCGTGCACTGCCACTTAGGCATTATTTGCAAGACAGCTCCACAGAGTTGTGCTAGGAGGATGGCAAATTGCAGTACAGAGATGGGAACAGGATTTGAGAAGGAAATCTTTACCTAGTTTTGTTACCAGAGCTGGTACATTGTAAAGCTGCAGTCCGAGCTGGAAATCCTGCAGCATCTTTTCACTAACATCAACCTGGAATTTATCTGGCCATCTGCCATGTGCAAATAAACCCCAAATCATGTTGGAGGCTCCTTCTACCCCCTTGAATCCCAGCCCCTTTCTGGGAGAGCAACCCACAGGCCAGGTTTTCTTTTGTGGAGGTTTTTAAAGCGACCACTTCGGAGTGTCTTGAAACTAGATACTAGTGGGAATTCCTGCAAGGCCTCTTTTAGCCTTGCTGGCTGGGACATCCTCGAGTGAAAATGTGGCTTGGATTGAGGATTGGTCAGTTGGTAAATTAGTCCAAACCCACCTAGTACAACTGCTTGATTTTCCTGACAAGCAGTGAAGAGGTCTGGGTAGGTAGGAAATACTACATACAGTGAGATCAGAGGTCTGCACCACACCTGTGCTGTGTGGTGGTGGTGGTCTGTAAGGAAATCAGAGTGGTGTGGTCTAGTTTCAGACTTGTTCTTGAACCTTCACTTTCCTGACTTTTTTTTTTTTAAGGATTCCCAAATTCTGGATTCAAACGATGTCTTTTTACTGCTTGCATCTTTGCAATGTCCTGGCACGTAAGATGCTGTCCTTGGAATTAGGACTTGGCTCATATTACTGTGGCAGAATCAGGAGTTGTCTTTCAAGGAAAAATCAAACTCGGTACTTTTCCAGCTGAAAGAGATTGCATTTTAAAAAGACCATTCTGATGGTGGTGTAACTGTTGTTTGTCTTCTTAAACTTAATCACATTCAAACCTAGTGGGAAGGAGTCAGATGCTCGCATAGAATCTTCCATGCACTGTTGGCAGCAGGGAACTGCCGAGGTCGTTGCACGTATTTTGGTTTAACTTGTTCCCACTGATGTCTAGCCTTTGGTTTGTGTCGCTCGCATCCCTTGCTAGTGGAAGGAGACTGATAGAGAGAACGGAGGAGTGATTCATGCTGTGGAAGGAAATTATCTCTTATCTAGGTTGCCTCTAAGCCAGTCCTGACTTTATCCTTGAGAGGCTGAAAAGTTGGTCTAAAAGGTAAATATTTATTCTTTAAGTGTCTGAAATTGATCTGAAATCCAGGCGTCTGGTCTGGTTGCCGATGGGAAGGAAGCCACACTTGTCTCTGTTCACACAGCACGGTGCGATTCAACCTGCAAGCGGAACAAAACCTGTTCTGGAGGAGCATAATTAAAAACTTGCTGAAATCTGTGTAACCTCATCGACTAAGGAATGTTTTCTCCCACCTCCGTTATGATAGGTCTGTGGGAGAGAAAGCGAAGAGGTCTAGCTCCTAGCTTCTCTGCTCTCCCAGTACTGAAGTTCCTGGGATGGAGACTGTTAAAATAACAGCACTCTTCTGCATCTTAGGAAAGCTCCAGTGACTTTAAGTCAACTGAGAGGCAGATCAAATACTGGGCAATGTGGCTTTTCTTCATGGCTGTATAGTAGGACACTTAAGGAAGATTTTGGAGTACCAAGTAGACTGTTTCCATACCGTTTCTTTTGAAAACTGCAGTGGAAATTCTGGATGGTGCTCTCTAGCCAACCTCCCCCTGCTTTGGTGATTGCCCAGAATTCAGCAGGAACAGAAAGTGAAACTGGCTGGTCTGTTGGTCATATACTGAGATGTACAGAAAGTGGAAGGATCGTATGAATGCTAAATCAGATGAGCTTTGCCGTCCTATTACCATCAGCTTTATGGAGAAAGCTGTCAGTGGTGAGAATGAGCTAAGCCAATTCTTGCGTAATTAGCCCCATACAATTACATGGTATTTAGCGATGTTTGGCTTGAGCTGTAAGTTCATGTGTATAACAGGGAGTTTCTGATGAGAACATGAAATTTAGATATCCAGAGTGAATATGTTGCAGTTAACCTAATCATTTAAAATCTTTTCATGCTCCTTTAGCTTCTGTCTCAAAGATCATTGAAATCTAGACCTAGGATGCCCTTTTTAGCCTTTGCACAGCATCTACTTTTGAGCTCTTGCTAGCATAGGATGTGAGGGGAGCTACTTTGGAAAGGTTTTGTAGTATTTGTGGTTTATTTCCTACTTTATCACTTGGCAGTACTTAATACTCTCCTGTTTTTTTAGCGAGATTGCTGTGGCTTGAGCCATTGTTGCTGAGTGTTTCTCTGCTGTACCCAACCTCAAAATTACTTTTGCTGCCTCCTTTGATTCTTCCACTTCCAGCAAAGTAGACCTTCTGCCTTACACCCAGCACAATCCTAAGAGCTCTCTAGCCCAGAGCTCAGCAGTGGTGCAGATCATCTCTTGACCTAAGCCAAGCACATCATTTGGGACTTACCCTGCATCGAGTTGTGCATAAATTGATTCTCCCTGCCCTCCTATTGAAGTGGCCTTGTTACAGGTTTGGGATCTCTCATGCCTTGGTTTCTTTGTCTTTTTACAATGCTGCTTTTCTTGAAGAGGTAATGGAACTCCTTTAGCTAGAAGAGTGATCGTGTGCATCTGCTGAGTATTGCCCATCTGCACATAATTCTGATACGTCTGGCAGTTACACATCTAAGATGTATACAGCTCCTGTCCAAGGAAGCTGGGTAGTTGAGATAAGTGGAACATGCGATTAACCTTGTGTGTCTGGCTCTTTCAGAACAGGGCAGTCGGACGGCCCAAAGGGAAACTGGGCACCGCTTCTGCGGTGAAGCTCGCAGCTAATCGGACAACCGCTGGAGCACGTCGGAGGAGGACGCGATGCCGCAAGTGCGAAGCGTGTCTGCGGACAGAGTGCGGCGAGTGTCACTTCTGCAAAGACATGAAGAAATTTGGGGGACCTGGCAGGATGAAACAGTCCTGCATCATGAGGCAGTGTATTGCGGTAAGTATACATGTTACTACAGCTCATTTGGAGGATTTTTTCCTATATCTGTGTTTTCCGGTGACACAGTGTGGAACTGAGAACTCTGCTCCGAGTAGTCTCTGAAGTGCATTGGGCAAAACAGTGTAATCCCTGCCCTCTGGTTCAGATCTCTTCTTCCCATTGCTTTTCACACACACCCCAAATCTTAAACCATAATGCTCCTAAAACTTTGTAGCACAGCTTGCTTTCTCAGTAATCTAGAAGGTAAATGTGGAGATTATCAGTACGCTGGAAATTGGCACTCAAATCACACTGAAATTCTGGGTTTTGGGGGAGAAGGGGAAGAGTAGGAAGGTCTGATTTAAAGGGAGAAGAGGCCTGTTTGGTTTGGATCTCTGAATCATCCTGAGAAAAGCTGCCTTGCCAGCCAGCTTTACCATCTTTACTTAACCAGCTTAAGATACGGAGAAATTTTTGTCGTTCTCCAAGATTTTGGTGTCTCTAGGCTACTTGAGATCTGAATTTCAATTTGTTTGCTATCACCTAGGCATATAGGAGGGATTTGATCCAATTGAGCCAAAGAGCCATCAACCCAAGGTCTTCTCTTCCTCAGGGACTGGAAACAGCTGTCAAGGGATGAGTGTCGGAACAGGGCAAGCAGGCAGTCAGGGACAGTTTCCTGGGCTGCTCTGATACATTGCTTAGAAGCTTCTTCAGTCATAAGTGATAGCTTTGTATTTAACAAATATTGACAGATTAATCTTCCATTAAGTTGTCCAAGCACCTTTTGAACCTGTTGCTTTCATACTGCCTGTCACTGAGCTTCTCCTCAGATCTCATGTCCACAGCACCCCCATTGAAGGGTAAAAATTAGCTTTAGCGTTTATCTTAATTCTTTGGAAGGTCTTGTTTATGTTGTTGTTAAGGGTTTGGTTTTCTGTTTTGTTTTTTATTTTTTTAAGGAAAGGAATGTTGTTTATTCATAACTGAAATACCACCCCATCTATACCGATTTCTCTCTTCACTCTTGTAACAGTTCCTTTCGCTTAGGTTTGGTTTGGGTTTTTTTTCTTTTCTTTGATTCTGATGAGGAAACTGAAGTGGAGGCATTAAATGTCTTGGTCTGACACTGATAAAAAACTGATAAGCACTTAAGGTTTCCAGTAGTTGCTCCTGGTAGCTCGCTCCATGTTCTGTTCTAAGCCGTGCACTGTTCTTGACATAGAGGATTGGATTCAGCTCTGCTGGATCTTTCAGTAAAGTACATAGAATATCTACCTTTCCGCAGAGTGCTTTTGCAGCTCAAGTGTCTTTTCTTTGAACACTTGATTTCCTGGAGTGTGGCATGAATTGAACAGCATGGATGAAGAATTTATTATTCTCCAGGGGGAAGAAATAGTGAAATCATGCTGCCTTTTTAGTGGAGGGATTAAATTAGGGCTGCAGTGCGCTTTCTGGTCCTGACTGATGAAGGAAACTTTCATACTAAGCTGTTTCACTCTTGATAACACAGACTGAGCCTTTTGGAGATGAACTGGGTTCTCTTTTGGCTGAGTGTAGTCATGTTCTAATCCCCTGTCTTCTAATGAAGAAGTATTTTTCTTTTTGGTATCTGCAGTTTTATTTCCAGAAGCTGTGGTTAGAGCATAGGGCTTGATACCCAGGGTGCTCCGATTCCTTGTCCCACCCTTGCATGCACTCGAGAAGACATCTCTGCCCTCTGTAGGTTCCCATTGGCATAAATAGCAGGGGGAGCGCTACAGACTTAGAGCGGCAAAAGCATAGAAAATTAGCAAGTTGAACTGCTGTAATTTTTAAGGGTGCTTTACATTTCCATAAGCAATCCTATTGTCTTTACTCTTGTTCATTATGTTCTCTAACAATTGTAGCAGTAATATATTGTGGTACCTATCCAACAGCTTCCAGCAAAAATTAAAAAAAATCAACCAAAAAACAAAACACCGAAGCAAGGCTCTGGAAGTAATGATCCTTCCAGTCCTGGGATTGTGCTTTCCTCTGGTTAATAACATTGACAATATTAACTAGACACAGACTTTCATTAAACTCAGAAGCCTTAAGAGAGCCTGTACTGCTGTTCAGAGAACAGGAAACTCCTCTCCATCACTAGTTTGATCAAGAAAGGAAACAGGAGTGTCTGGGACACTTTATGCTGCATTGAATAGGTCTGAAGGGAGCGTGGGGCTCTGTGCTGGGAGGAGGAGTTGTGACAGCATGGCTGCTGTTCCAGCCTGTCAGCAGGACAGAGCTAGTTCAGGCACAGAGGAGATTCCCTAGACACCCTTGCTCCCAGCAGGAAAAATTGTACTGCTCCTGGGATGTTTGTTCTTGTGTGTGGATATAAATACTTGTTGTGTGGGAGATAGGACAAAACAAGTGGACAGAGCTTTTATGGCTCTGGATGACTTAGCTTTTCTCTGGTTTACCTGCTGGTGGAATGGGATCCTGGGGATTCCTAATTTGTGCTTGGAGGAAGGGTGGGAATTAAATAGCATTTGCAAGTGCTTTTAAAATGGAGCGTGGGTAAGTACTGGCATGAGAAAGCAGGAAGGTGTTGCTGTAGCTAATGTATCAGATGTTGGAGTGTAGGGCAGCACACCATACTCCGTAATGGCTTACTATAGCTAGGTTTTTCCCTGTCTGAAACTTGCTGAAGGATGCACTGTTGTTGTGTAGGTTTGGTTCAGTGTGCAAGTCTCCATCTACAAGAGATCCTTGCTGTGAAAAACCGCATCTCTGGCTACGTAATAGTTAAGGATTTGCAACCTAATCGATTGCTTTTCACATTACAGCCAGCTTTTTATGAGGATCTTCCTTTTCTTTCTTGTGATGAGGCTCATACCTTATTGCTGCAAACCAGAAGTTTGTTCCTCATTAGCACAAAGGTGGCTTTTTAATTAGACTGGCATTCAGTGCTTTGACATAGGTGACAGATACGTGAGATGCTGCAGTTCTCTTTCTGCCTCAGCAAAAGACAGCCAAAAATCAGCGTGCTTCTCACTTGTGACACTTGCAGGAGAGGAATTCTCTTTTTAAGTGTCTGTGCAGTGCTTTTTGGGAACAGGGCCCTACAAAATAGACAGTCAGAAAAGGGTCTATTCTTGGTTCTGTTGTGGGCTTGCTGTGAGACCTGGATTAGGTCCCATAACATCTGTCTGCCCTGCTTGTAAAATAGGGGAACTGCCAAATTGCTTCAGGTTGTGAAGTTTAATGGATGTGAATAGTGATGTTCTAGGTTGCTTCTTTTCCCTCCCATTGTATGCTAGTGAAGTGACCTGTGTGCCAATGTCTGCGTCAGCTCGTGGATTCAAGGGATCCACCAAAAAAGCTTTTTCATCTGTCCCTGGGATGCCCTGTGAATCTGTGTGCCTACAGTGAGGGCGCTTTCATTCCGTGAAACGTGTCCTGTGATGCTTCGTCTGGGTACTCAGCCCTGGTTGTTACCAGTTTTTCTTGTCTTCGTTGCTCTGCTGGGCTGGAGCCTTCAGCAGTTTGCACAATTAATCCCTATTTATCTCCTCTTTAAAATGAGGGTACTGTAAAAGCACATTGAGTTCTTCTGTTTCCGTGTATCTTCCGTGTCCTGATCAAGACTTCTTTCTGATATGTGTAAACAGCCGGTGTTGCCTCATACTGCTGTGTGTCTGGTGTGCGGAGAGGCTGGGAAGGAGGACACTGTGGAAGAGGAGGAGAGCAAGTTTAATCTCATGCTAATGGAATGCTCCATTTGTAATGAAATCATACACCCAGGATGCCTTAAGGTGAGTACAAGGATGTGATATGTGTCGGAAACAAAAACCGGATTAGTTATCACCTTAATGTAAAACTAGTGCACAGAAATTGACTTTCACATTTTCATCTTTGGAAACTTAAGTGAGCAAAAAGTGGGTGTGAGAAGCGGGGTGACAGCGGTGGCACATGCAGCCCTGATTGGCAGGCTGGGTTCCTTTGATGTAACAGCATCCCCTGTAAGCAGTGACTCTTGCTTTGGACAGCCTCTGAAATGTGGGTTTGGGGTTTTGTTTGGTTTTCTTTCTTTTTTGCCTCTTGTTTAAGGAAGAGAGGAGTTTCAGTTGGGATGGGAAGCTCAAGAGGACAGAGAAATCTGCCTGTACTTTTGGATGAGTTGGTGACAATCCCTGTATCGGTAGCTCCTTCCTGTGTACCACGAAGTACAAAAGAGTAGTTTACCGTTCATCTCTGTCCAGGCACAGATGTGCCTTTCAGTGGCAGCTGACTTTAAAGATGTTACAACCAAATGTTGCAGTAGGAAGACTGCAGCTCTAGAGCACAAACTGAGTGAGTTGCAGGCTGCAGGAGTGCTCACCCTTGGCTGACTTGAGTCCTGTGAGCAGCTGTATTCTTTGCTGGTAACAAAAGTGTCATTTGGGGCACATATGTGTGAGCATTTAGAAGCCACCTTTCTCCAGAGCTGGTTTGTTTCAGCTGATCAGCCATTTCCTGCTGATGATTTGTTTATGATTAAAGTGAGTTGCCAAAGCAAATGTATTCTGACACTGTGCCCCAGAAAGCAGCTTTTGGCCCTTCTGGGATCTCTGGGAGGAGAGGTATGTTCCTTATGCAGGCCCGGGGTGATACTCTCCTGGCTTTTTATTTTTCTTGCGCTGTACGTAGAATTTCACCAAGCTATGTGCATGTCATTTATTAGAGCAGAAAGGTAGCTGGCAAATCAGAACTGTGGCTGTCTCCCTGATTCACGAAATCGGTGCTCACAGCTCCTGCCACAGATGGGCTCTGAAAGGGAGCTTTGCTTGCTTGGCTCTGTTTAAAACAAGGCTTCGGGGGCTGATGAATCAAGGGAAGGAGCTGCTCGTTTTCAGAGGTACCTCAGTTCTGGCTTGTGGCTGCTGTTTTGCTATTCCAGTCCTTCCTGAAAATGCCCTGCGCTACCCTATCTCCTGCTTTGCAGTGTCAGTGACACTTCAGGGCTGAGTTGGGAGGACACGATTGTTGTCTAGTGGCAGTTCAAGTATGGTTTCCTCTCCCTGTACCACCTTTGGGACTAGTTGCACAGGATGTGGGTCAGATCTGTGAAGTCAAGCAAGTGCTGTTGGTTCTTTTATGGGTGCGCGGTGTTCCGGGTGCTGTTTTGGTAACTAGGAACAACGTTGCTTTGGGTGTTTCAGAAAATTAAGCAGTGGGAGATTTACAGTGTGCCTTGTGTGTGTTGTATTTTGATTTCTCAATGCTTCTGTTGAGCTGAAATGGTGGGGTAACCGGTACTGCGTATTTACTGAGATAAAAGGGCACTGGTAGGATTTCAGAATGGTTGTGGAAGGTGAGATGAGACTATGCACAGAGGAACAGCAAGAGGAAAATGGAGCCTCTTCCTTGGATCCCTCCTTGCTCTTTATTCCCAGGTTCCACGATTTCCTGCGAGACAAAAATCATGTTTACATGTTGCTTGAGCCCTTGGTGTGGGCTTAAGCCCAGAGGATGGAGCCCATAAATAGCTCTTGTGGGAAGCGCCTTTGAATGGAGACGGCCCCAGGGCAGCAGCTTCGGCTGTCCACCTAGAGAAGGTCCCTTCCCATCGTACTCAGTAAATAGGCAGTAGAACATGCGAACGGTTGGTCATCTCCAGTTAAACGTTTGGTAGATGTACTTTTGGGGGAGACTGGAGTAAACTGGACCAGTGAAGGGAGGAGTGTCATCTCCTGGCTTATTCCCATGTGGAGTGAATTCCTTCCAAGGCCCATCTCCAGAGCTTGTGGAGTAGTTTGGCACATGCGGGGACTAATTTGTATTCCAGGGCAGGTTGTTCCTGGTTCGAAGTCCATCCTCTTCCAGCTTCCTGATTTCAGCCGTGCCTCTTTGTGATGGGTTTTCTCCATGAAAAACCAGTGTCATAGTAGCTCAGGTGCATCTGCACTCTGACACACTTGCAGCCTTGAGGAGCTTCTGTGGATGCCTTTTGCTGGGGGAGCCCTGGGTACCAGAGCACATTGGGTGCTTCATTGGAGCCGTGCTAAGGACAGCCAGGGTGTTCCATATACCGAGAAATGTCATGGGTTGTTTCTGACATGCTTCTTTCCTTGAAAATACAGTACCAACATGAATGCTTGTTTTGCTGAAGAGTTTCTTATGAAAACAATCTTGGCAAGCAGTTTGCAAGTACAGCATTGTTTCCAGAGGGAGCTATGAGATTTTTTTGGTGGAGTATTGCCTTTTGTTGTTACAGAGCGTTTGAGTTGAACCAATATTGATGAATTTTTCTTGCTGCATCTCAAATAGCTAGTAACGCTGGCTAGCACGTGTGGGTGAGTGCAGTATCTGATGCTGTTTCCTTAAGGAGAAGGGGTTCATTTTCCCCACTAGGAGCCTGTTCTTTTCCATCTTAGGTGGATATAATAGTGGTAATAATGGAAAAGGTGAATATTTAGGCACCTTGTCAGAACAGCAGAAATACAAAGACCTTTTCCAGCACAGCTGCAGTGCTGCCCGTGGCTTCAGCCCAGACGTGTCTCGCTGCCTGTGTTGCTTCAGTCTTGGCGCTGCCGGAATTCATGGCTCTCACTCGGCGATGTCAGATCAGCATCCTGGGGTCTCCATGTTCCTTAACAAGATGACTTCGTGGTAGTGTAGCCTCACATTTAGACTTTCTGAGTAGCTGACCTTGTGCTGCAGGTACGTTTCTGAAGACGCCTCATGCTGTGGCTCAGACACCCACCTGCTGTTTGTAGCAAACACACAGAACTGGCTCCCACCCAGCCTGAAAGGCTTGGGACAGATTCAGTGGCAGGTTTGTGTGTGTCTAATTAGTTTGCTTACAGTTCCTCACATCTGTTCAGTTCCTTAAACTTCACAGAAGGGACAGAGCTGTAATGCTTTCCCTTCAGTAGCATTTGTTCTATATTCAGTGCGGGAAATAACTTGTTCCCAACTTGGGCTTGGGCCAGGAATTGTTCCCCTGAGGCAGAGATGTATACAACAGCTCCTGGAGTATCTTACACCTACCATGGGAAAGAAGGTTCAAAGGCACGGAGTTGTGATAAAACCAGTATTTAAATTCTGCCCACTTCATTTACTCATTTATTAACTCCAGAAGACTTGCTGAGAGAGACTGACATGTCATCGCTCTCGCTAGATGGTGGAACTAGAATGGCGGCTGTCTGAGGAAGCAGTTTCCCTAAAACGAAGGGCTTGATCCTGCCCAGGTAGTGTGTTTTTGCTGAGCTGGGAGGAGAGGAGGAAATGTTTCAGAAACATGAAAAATCTGCAGATCTCTGCCCCTGCCTGTTTCAGCAGCAGTCTCTTGCTACTGCGCTGCTGATGCCAATGCCCAGCTCTTTGTCTTGACAGAAGTGTGGTTTTGTTGACTATGATAGTAATAAATTAATCTTTCCCCCCCTAGCTTATTTCTGAATCCGTAACTAAACCCTTAAATGTAAATGTGCCATCAGTGAGCATATGTGTTTGTGTGGAGGGTGCTTTTACCTTAGCTCTACTTTTCATCCTCACTTCCATTCACAGAAATGTCTTTTCAGAAACACCTATCTCCTCTTTGGAATGTAGTGCTGGCTCCTATATGGAGATTCAGAAACCAGCAGCTTTTCAGCTGCGTGGGGCAGGACTGTGCTTTTATTGTAGCGTAACAACGCTGAGCGCGTGGCTTCTCTTTCAAAAAGCAAAATGTCACAGTCTCTCGGAGGTAGCGTAGTAAGCATTTCTCTTCCTTACACTAGCTCGGTAACTGTGGGTGTGAGAAACCTTAAAAATGCCTTCATGTGTCCAGTCTTCTGAATAAAAGTGCCTGTTCTCTAGCTGACTTGGCAACCATCATTTTTGTTGGTGCATGGGACTGCTAGTTCTGATCCATAAAGAAAAATATTTTAAGGAACATTTGATTACAGTGCAGGGTGCTTTGCTTCTAAAAATGCCGAACAGTATTAATGTATGTGAGAATGTGTGTATGGGAAAAATCCCTCCCTATTAAAAGATCAGACTGTGCAGCACTCTGGGGGGGGGACGGGACTGAGCTTTTCAGTAAGTGGTGTGGGAGGACGTTTGGCGTGATTACAGTCCTGGGTTTGGGGAGGTTGGTTTGGGTTGTTGGGGTGCTATCTGTTGTTTTAGTTTTCCGCAAGAGCAGAATGTGCCCTGTGTTAATTGGGATTGTCATAGACCTTCATAAAAAGCCCAGACCTGAACTCTGTGTTAAATATCAATTTGGCTGGCATGCTTTCCTCCCTTGTTGACATCATCAGAAGGGTAATTGTGCAGGACTGAGAGCTTGCTCAGCACCAGCAGGATGGTGCAGCACCTGCGGTGATCTGGGTTTCTTTTCTTTGGGAGGGCAGCAGTTATCAGAGAAAATTGAGCTGTACAAAATGCCTTTAAATGATCTACTTGTAGACTTCTGCAGCTTTTTGGAGCACGGTTGTGAATTGGGTTGTGCCTCTCTTTCCCCAGGTGAAGGAATCGGATGGTGTGGTTAACGATGAGCTGCCGAACTGCTGGGAGTGTCCAAAGTGCAACCATGCAGGGAAAACTGGAAAAGTGAGTTTAATGGGAATAAGTGGTGCTGGATTAGATAGAAAATATCAGACGTTCCCTCTGGCCTGTAGATATAATTTTCCCCAATACCGGCTTTTGATTTTGTGCTTAATTCAGTTCAGTTGAAGGAAATAAGCTGATGGCTTTCTATTCTTTAATACTTTTTGTGTTCTTGTTCCATGCACTAACACTTCACCCAGAACCTGGGAAATACTTAGGTTAGTTCTGTGCACGGCTGCATGTTCATTTCTAAGATGAAAATACTTTCTTTAAAAAAAAAACCCGAAATCCAGAAGCAATTATGCAAAACCTGAAGTGTCTGTTGGAATTAGTGAAACTTTATTTCTTTGCAACCTGAGACAGACGCTGCAAGTGTGTAGTTACAAAAATAACTTTATCAAGGTTGAAACTCCTTTACTCTAACTGCTTGCTAATCATTTTGTCTGTTACAAAGTGATCAACCCACCAGTGTTGGAGGCAACTTAGCTTAAGGGCTGAGAAGGTAATAAGGTATAAAGTTTGTTTGTGTTTTGTGTCTCTTTGGCGTACAAGCAAAAGCGCGGACCAGGATTCAAATACGCATCAAATCTCCCAGGCTCATTGCTGAAGGAACAGAAAATGAACAGAGACAACAAGGAAGTAACAGATGCTGCAAAACGGAAAGGGGATTGTGAAGAAACTCCCAGGCGGAAATCGGAGGAACATTCCAAAAAGACTCAAGTTGACTCAATACTGAGGAGAAAGTCAGACGAAGTGCATCTGTGGAGGAAAAGGAAATCTGAGAAACCCCAGGAACCCACTATGAGAAAGCGGGTATGACGAAACATTCTTTTCATGTACTTACACAGATGCGCGTGGGCTGGTTGGGGCTGATGTCTCTTGCCTTCTGGCTTATAGCTCATCTTGAAATTCCAGATTGTTACAAAAGAAACTGTGATGTTTTACCTTCCTTTCTGAAAACTGCTGGTCTAACAGGACAGTAGTTTGAACAGCAACACTCAGGTTGATGTTCAGAGGCCGAAAACACTGGGCTATGGCTGTTGTTTTATTGACAACACTGGAAAACCCACTTTAACTGAAAAGTCCTTACAAGATGCTTGGAGTAGAAACAAGGTGAAAATCAATTTTTAATGGAAACCTTTTCGTCTGTGTCCACTTGGTGGCGCGTGGCAGCTTGTTCTGTGCCTGATTCAGGGATGTACAATGCTTGTAACCCATCAGAGGACCTTTAGAAATGACACCTTCCGTAGCCTGCGGAGAGGAGGAGCTGCTCACAACAGTGATGTAGACAGCTTTTCCCTGAATTCAACAGTCAGAGCTCTTGGGCCAGGCAGGGACACTCTGAATTGTCTTGTGGATTGTGAAATATGGTACTTGAGATATACAGAAATGCTAGTTTGCAGAGGTAGAAATGAAGACCTAGATTTATTGTCTCTCATGAGGAAATGGCTGATGGCTTTAAAATCAGAATCAGTGGCTGGTTTTATATTGCATGTGTAGTTCACGAGGAGGGGCAATCAGTCTGCCCTGCAAGGCTTGGCAGCGGGAACGCTACAGTAAATATATGGATTTGCTTTGAATGGGGTTGCTTTGGTGGAGTGAGAGCACAAAATTCACGATACCAGTTTATGCATATCTGCTTTCTGGCCATGCTTTCCTTCTCCCATCCCTTTGGAGTCACCACAGTGCTTACAGATGGCTTGAATTGTTCCATGAAAGCCCCCCAGTACGTGAGGAAGGTACCAAACCTTCATCAGCACAACAAATGTCACGTTTTGGGATTTTTTACTTTACTTTCTTCCAACGGTGAAAACTTGGAAAAGATGACAAACTCTTCAGGAAAAAGGTACTTTGCCTTTTTAATAGATGTGTTCTCAATCCCTTTTAATCACCTCTCCTCGTGTGAGCTGAATGGTGAGCCAGTTTCTCTATCAGCCCCGTCCTTGTATCACTGCAGGCATTTTTATTACTCATTTACATCTTGAAATTACAGAATCTCTCTCTCATGGAAATCTTTAGGCTCCAGGATAGTTTAGCTGCAGTGTCTGGTTTTATATTTTCTGTTCTGGTGTCCCATATTAAAATAGAGCAGCAAGTTGTGTCCTGATGAACCAAGGAATAAAATTCTGTTTCCGTACTGATGTTTCACTCTTCCTGTGTGGTTGAATCTTGCCCCTGTCACACAACCTGTCCCTGGAGCCCCTGCTGACACCCCAGGAGCCAGGGATGACCCGGCACGCCAGTATTGACTACCTCTCACAATCTGGCACGATAACAGAAGCCCAATACCTTTAAACTAAGCGCTCCTCAGTACCCCGTGTGAAGGATGCTGCAAGCTGGCAGTAGTCTGATGTTGTGTTTTTGTGGGGTTGTTTGGGGGTTTTTTTAATTGTAACCTGTCATTAACTTAGTGCGACCTCTCCTTTTACAATATGTTAATTTAAAGACAGGGTGATCAGCTTTCTCTGCTGTGCACCACAGTCTGAAGCATAGGAGCACATCCACTGACTTGATCCAATTAGTTTATTGTGAAAGCATAGACTTTCTGATATAACAAGTGTGTTCACAGCGGTTCACCTTTTCTTGCTGGTCAGATCTCTTATTAGAGCCATTTCATTTTAACGGTTGGTGGCTTCTTTCTTGCTTGTAGTGATCGGATTAGACTTGAAGTCTTCCCTGGTCTTAGTTTGTACATCTCTTACACTTCTATCTGCTGTGCATCAAAGAGAGATTTGATTAATGCGAACAAGTGCAGTTTGCTGTTACGAACAGTGACCGGGGCAGGGAAGAAGGTGCCAGCTAACGCCCGTCAGCCTGCGTTGCGTTGGAGATTGTGTCAGCGTGAGGTCTCGCCAGGCTAGCAGTGTGTCAGACCTGTCAGATTCCCTGTTGTGCGTGCACTGGAGGTGGGGGAAGCTTGAGAAGATGAGCAGAGTTTAGTAGCGTGTAAAAGGAGCAGCAAAAGCATAATGAAACGAGGCTGTGAGTATCCAGCAGTAACGGCCACAGCAGCACAGCCACGGTGCGAGGCTGTGACTGCGATTCAGGAGGTCTCAAAAATTTGACCTTTGGGCATTGGGTGTGAATGGATGTCACCAGTGTTTCAAGTGGGTGCTTCACCCAGTGAATGTGTCCCAAGCCTGGTTTCTTCTGGCCTGCTGGGGAAAAAGCTGTCTATAGTACGCTGCTTATTTTATACGTAATGATATCAGTTGTTCACTGTGTGATGAGTAAGGCCCTTAAATCTGCAGGATTATGCATGGTGAATAAATGCATTTATCACTCTCTTGGAGTCTGGAGAGCCAATAGCTGGACTCCTCACCCATGTGATGGCACTTGAACTTGATACCTTTGGCCGGTGAATGTCCCGTTGTGCTCAGATGGGTGGGACCTGGTGCTGGCAGGCAGCCCGAACCCCCGGGCAGGGCTGTCTGCACGGAGCATCAGTGTGCAAAGTGTTGCCAAGTATGTTCTTGCTCAAATAGTCAGCCCTTGTCTCTTCCTTTTCAGCGGCGATCATGGAAGGCTTCAGATGACCGCACTGCCATGATCAAGCCCCTGCGGCGCCTGAAGCAGGAGCCGGAGGATGACCTGCCAGAAGCACCTCCCAGGTCCAAGGATAGCGACCAGTCACGGTCCAGCTCGCCCACTGCAGGTCCCAGCACGGAGGGTGCTGAGCCCAGGGACAAGAAGAAGTTCAAGATGAGGAGGAAAAGGCGGCTTCCCAATAAGGAACTGAGCAAGGAGCTCAGTAAGGAGCTCAACCAGGAGATCCAAAAAACCGAGAACAGCCTTGCCAATGAGAATCACCAACCCATCAAATCTGAACCCGAGAGCGAGAATGAGGAACCTAAACGTGCTTTGAACAACAGCGAGAGACTCCATAGGTTCAGCAAAGGGTTAAACGGGACTCCCCGGGAACTGCGGCACCAGCTCATCCCCAGCCTGCGAAGCACACCTCGGGGAATAACCCGGCCACCGCCTTCGCTCTCTCCTCCCAAATGCATTCAGATGGAACGGCACGTTATCCGGCCGCCTCCCATCAGCCCCCCTCCGGACTCGCTCCCCCTGGATGACGGGGCAGCCCACGTGATGCAGCGGGAAGTCTGGATGGCTGTCTTTAGCTACCTCAGTCATAGAGACTTGTGCATCTGTATGAGAGTTTGCAAGACCTGGAACAGATGGTAAGGAGGGCAGGAAACCAAGCTGGGCCTAACCTGTAGCAGGATGGACGTGAAAGGGAAGTGGGTGAGAGGGGCACGAATGCCTCCTAAAGAGGTGTGTGCAGGTCGTCACTGCAGCTCTGTTGAGCCCAAGGAGAGGGGACGACCAGCAGTGTCTAGAGAAGTAGCCTGTCTTCTGTTGCTTTCTCAGAAATGGCAGTTCCCAGCATTTCTGGAGGGAATTGTGTCTGTGTGTCAGCGTCGGCGTCAGCCTGCCGGGGCTGTAACGTCCCAGAGCAGCCTGTTCTGTAGTTAGACACCATAATGTTCTTGCCTGCTGGAACGGCCAGTCTAGGTCGTGCTGAGGCTTGGTGTCATTCTGCCCCAGGACTTGCTGACTGCTAATGCAGTGGTTTGTTCAGTTCAGCTATTAATTATCTATTGAGATACAGTGACGTTCTCCCAGCGCCCTCAGTGTTCTCCTCAGAAGGTCTGTGCTGATTGTTTCCCTGTGGAGGATACACGGAGAGCGATCCCGCTCGCTGTGTTCTGTACTGGCAGAGCCAATGGAGGAGTCCTTCGTTATTGTATTTACTCACAGTGTGTCCGTTTGGTGCCCGGGGTACCAGAATGTGAATGTTGACACAGTTGGTGACTGTACAGCAGCTGGAAGCATTAGTGGACAGGTTTACGTGTTTCACTGAACTGGCAGTGAAATCTCTTGTTGGTTATCGTCTTGGATTCAACTGTAACGTGCACACTGATGAGCAGGTTGTAACAGAGACTCCTTTCTAGCGGTCTAGTGACAAACTGGGTAAATGGCAGAAAGGTCGAGGGGTTGATAATTTGGTGCAAGATGATGTGTGAGGAGTGCCTCCTCCGTGGTTGTCTTGGTGTCACAGAAAGCTGGTAAATGCCTTTTCCACATCTGTGCAGTGTTTTCTAATGGAAAAAAATGAGAAAATGCAGAATCTTGCATGCTCATTAGGACTTCTTGCTTGTTTCCCTTAGAGAACCATAAAGAGAGCATAAAAACATATAAGCCGTGTAGACAGGACAACAGTACAAACACACAGAACAGGAGAGGGGTGATCTGTTTTACAAAATTCACTCGTTTTAAGTAAGGAAAGCACATGGAATGCACTAGAAAATGGATTTTAGTAAGTGCTGTGATGACTTAAAATGGGATCTGAAGTTGTTGACACTTGTAATTCTGTGGAACCAGTCCCATGCTTTATTGCTTGATATATTTGATGGAGAAACTTCAAACCTATGTAACAACATTGTTGTGGTTATCTTAGCATCGCTCAGCCTTATTTTTGCTATTTTCAGTTAAATGCTATAGTTTTCCCTGCTGTTCAATGACACCTTTTAATGTCTTGCAGAAATCAAAACAAGTGCCAAATTAAGTGCTGTTGGCTTTTTTTTTCTTTTTGGGTAGGTGCTGTGACAAAAGATTATGGACCAAAATAGATTTAAACCATTGTAAATCCATCACTCCACTTATGCTTAGTGGCATTATTAGGAGACAGCCTGTAACCCTTGATCTTAGCTGGACAAATATATCTAAAAAGCAGCTGAGTTGGCTTATCAACAGACTGCCAGGTAAGTGATTAATTTTTTTGAGCACTTCTCTGAATTCAGCAACCTAGTTTGTATCTAAACTGCAATTTCAGAGGAACGTCTGCAGGGATCTGGGTGTCCTAGGAGAGGAGTAGATATGTAGGAATGAAGCACTGGCGGGTTAAAATGGGCCTGAAATTAGTTTTGTTGTGACTAACTGATGTGCTAGGTAAACTTAATTTGAGGCAGGTCGTCGTCAACAGGTCATGTTGTTGTGGAAAGTGCCTGCGCCAACATGATTAGTGGAGGGGGTGGCGGGGATCTGCTCTCACCCACAGTAATGAAGTTCCGGATGGTGGGAGAAGTGGAGAGCTGGGTGGGAGGAGGAGGCTGACAGGGTCCCTGCTGGCCCTGGTGCGCTGGGGTGGTTGTCAGAGCAGCGCTGCGCTTCACACGACCCGCACGTGGTAGCAGATATCGCTGCAAATGTCTTCGGGTAGGCTGCGTGCTCCAACTTCTTCTGTATCTGCAGGTCTTCGAGACCTGCTGTTATCAGGGTGCTCGTGGATAGCAGTGTCGGCACTTTGTAGTTCCAGTTGTCCTTTACTACGAACTCTGGACGTGCAGTGGGCAGAAGGCCTGAAAGACGCACAAATGAGAGACCTCTTGTCACCGCCCACAGATAACCGGCCAGGTAACAGGCGGGAGTAGCACACGGGAGACCTGTCCCAGCCGTTGAGTGGCATGTTCTGCTGCTAGTCCCCCTTGGAGGAAACGGGCAGGAACCCCTGCAGCTAGCACCGGCGGGGTTCTGGGCTTTGCTGACGCGTGGGGTGTTCAAAGTAGCGACTCGCAACACCTCCTTGCTGGAAGCCACTGGGTAACAAGTGATGTTCTCTGGCTGCTGAACAGTCATCTGAGCCGCTGTGCTGGTTTTCTGTCTGACTTTCTTCTCTTCAGGCTGCAACGGGTGTACTTTAGAGAGTATGGAAACACTTTCTTCCAGTTCAGGGAAGGAGCAGTTCTGTGGGTCATGCCACATTCGCCCGGATCTCAGCTCAGGTGAAATTTTGAGCAAATCAGATCTGCTTTCTGGCATGCACTGCACAGCCTACTGCTTATTCCCGAGTTGTAATTCCGCTGGGCCCCTGCAGTTACTTTCATCCCTTTTTGTTTTGAAATCAGGAGGTGGCTTTGTCCACGTGCCTGTTCCAAAAATAGACGAGTGTTCCTGACTCCAAAGCTCCAGACAGGCCAAAGCGTCTGAAGTTGATGTAGGGCAGCAGTGTTGTGTGTCACAGTGCATTTCATATAGATCTGCAGATGTTTGCAACATGGGGTGAGATTTTTGGGAGTGACCTGCTGCCTCTGCTTTCCAGGTCAGATCGACAACCGGAGTAAACTACGGAACATCGTTGAGCTGCGTTTGGCTGGCCTGGATATCACAGATGCTTCTTTGCGGCTGATCATAAGGCACATGCCTCTGCTCTCCAAACTCAATCTTAGTTACTGTAATCACGTGACAGATCAGTCTATTAACCTGCTGACCGCGGTTGGAACCACCACGCGGGATTCGTTAACAGAAATTAATTTATCAGGTAAGCAACGCAAGCGTGCGGACGGGGAGGATGGGAATTGCCTTTTGGCATTAGACTTGTGTGAACCGCGTGTCAGCGGGGGTGGCTTTGCCCAGCGCTGCCCGGTGTAACCTCCCTGCCAGGACCCCGTTTCAGCAGCCAGATGTGCTGCTGCGTATATAACCCCACAGCTGCCCGGCCCTTCCCCGGGCCCGGCGCCAGCTGAGGAGCCGTGCGTTGTACCCCGTTCATCCTCTGCGGGGGATTTTCCAAGGCTGCCGCGCATCTGGCGTGCTTGGCTTTATCTCGTCCGTTACACAACCGAGTCACAGGGACGGGGCCGGTAGGGTGATTGCGGGGGAGCGAGGGGGACCTGCCGCGGTCGGGATAAACCGTCCTCGTGATGGAGAACAAACCGAGATGCGCTGTTAAACTTCTCCCCCTTTGGGGTTTTCTGTTGTTGTATTTTTCCGGCAGACTGCAATAAGGTTACTGACCAGTGCCTGTCTTACTTCAAACGTTGTGGAAACATCTGCCAGATCGACCTGAGGTACTGCAAGCAAGTGACAAAAGAAGGCTGTGAGCAGTTCATAGCAGAGATGTCAGTAAGTGTTCAGTTCGGGCAAGTGGAAGAAAAACTTCTGCAAAAACTGAGTTAGTTAAAGGACACGTGTAAATACTGGGGCAAGGGGGGGTTGGGACTGAGAACACGTAGGGATTTTATTTTCAATTGGGATCTTGGAATATTGGAAAATACCGCGATTGGATTTTACAACTCTTGTCGAGGAGAGAACAATGTGAAACTACCCATGATAAGAATTTCAACTTGTGCCACTAATTCAGTCTACCTGGGATGTCCTGCACTGGCTCTTATGCAAATTTCATAAGGCGACTGTTATTGATGATAATTGTTCATACCCAGAAGACGACTGATCTCCAAGAAATACTGTTATTTAAAGTACCACAGCATGTGCTTGGTAGTGTAAATTTGATTTCTGCTTTTCATTTCTTAAAACAACAACAAAAAAAAATGTTGGTGTCATTAAAGTGGACCATACACTGCATTTCTGCCTTCTTAACACGTTTTGTTTTGTTACATCTTACATTATGCAGAACTATTTTTGTACAAAAATTGTTTAAAAATTATTTATGCAATGTTTGAATGCATTACCAGTGTTTTGGTTTTGATTGCCAATTTTTATCTTTACTTATGGTAGGCGAGAACTTAACCTATACTTCGTAGACAGTATCTATCTACAAACGTGCCCAGGTCAGGAAAAGTAGGTTAATACTTTCAACTTAAAGCATGTTTTAATGGAAGTTTATATCCTGCTTTGTATACTTCAGAAGTGACATAAGCATGTTGTGGAAATAAGGTGTAAATTATAGTTGAAGTAAAACACTTTGCCAAGTTTTATCTGTATAGAAATCACCTTTTTCTCAAAATTTTAAAGAATTCCAATTTCAGCTTTTGCACATAGGAGGGTTTCACTCTGTAGCATGAGCTCTTGTACTCAATATAAAATTAATTTATACAGTGAGTCCAGCCGTAGAATAAATGGTCAAACGTTGTCTCTTTCTTTGAAGTGTGAGTTGAGTTCTCATTTAAAGTTTATAACATGGTTATTTCCTGATTGTAAAATTCTGCATTCATAAGTGCCATTGTTGTACGGTGTTGTTTTCGTAGACCTTCCTGATGCAGTTTTACCTTTGTTGAATTTGTATAAACAATTGTACAAAAAGAGGCGCTGGCTCTGTGCGTTTCTGTTCTGCTGCGGGGATGTTGTGGGGGGAAGTTGTGTTTAGCACTCGTGCGTCTCAAGGAAAAGGCTGAAGCGCTTCCCGAGCTGGCTGAGAAAAGAGGCTGAGGCTGAGAAAGCCCATCACAAATCTTTATTAAGCTTGTGTGGCTAACGATCAGCATGGAAATAACATACAGGGTATGTTTGTCTTCATTAGCTTACCCACTGAACAGAGACTCCAGGAATTTAGTACCATTAAAAAGTTACTTCTAAAAAATAAAGCCATTGAGAGGTTTGCTCCCTTCTGAAAAATAACCAGCAATGTCTCTAAGCTGTGTATTTTATTTTGAGGAGGAGCTACTTTCTCTTTTCCAAGCTAGCTTAATTTTTCACATAAAAGACAAGAGCAGGTGTGACAGCGCAGCAGAGGTACTACAGCCAAGGCAAAACATCTCCCTCTCTCTGTTACTTCGCTAGCATGTGGGAAGTTAAAAGGAGCAACTGTTGCTTCATTGATCAACTCTGCTTAAAGAATAGGATAACCATGGGGCCAGACCTGCTCCTTCCTCCCCTCTTTGGGCTGTGAATTTATCTGATGCTGTCTGCCAGGGACACCCTACAAGGGCAGTCACAGCTCCTGGGCTGGGGGCTGACAGCAGCACAGGTCACTTGGCAGCCAGGGGTAGCACAGTTAATAGTGACTTGGTCTCAGTGAACGTGAGGTTTTAAACAAAAAAATACCGTATTTCCTTTCCCTTCTCCTTAATAAAACCCCTCCCCATTTAAGGTTAGTAACATACATTCCACATGTTAGCAGCAAGTAGTTTCCTGACCCTGATTAGTATTCACAGTAACATCAGGCTGTCGGCACAGGGAGTACAATCATCACACATAAGAGTAATAGTTACAATAGGCATGAGTGGATTAAGGACCGCAGTAAGATGGTTTCCTAACCCCCTTTGTAAAAAAATATTTTATTCCTAAACTAAAAACCACCTGGTAATTGGTATTTGGACACCACATGGCAGAGCCCTGCCAAATGATAGAGATTTTGTACATTTATGAAGAATGGCCAAGACGGTACACTTGTTACAGCAGACATTCTGCAGGAAGCAATCGGCAGAAAATGGATTGCTTGAGGGCTTCTGTGCAGGTACAGTTAATGGCAGTGCTTCTACAGTTGTATTTTATACTGTTAACACTGGTGTAGGGACAGTGTCAGAACAGGTACAGTCTGTAATTACATAAAAGCCGAATAGTCAATGGCTATATTCCTTGCTTCTAATGTACTAGACAAGGTAATACTCTAATGTGGTAGAGCAAAGGTGTTTGTTTTCCGAGTACTGAATGTGGTAATTAATTAGAGGCGATATTCTTCAGAAGAGAGCAAGAACTGCTGTAAACAGTTTGACTCAAACAGTTTGTGGGTTGATAAGGTAAGTCAGGCAGCACTATTACTGTACACACAGGCACCATATTGTACTGCCCAGCCACGGGGTTGAGTATGCTGTAGAAAAATGTTTCACAAACTTCTAGATCCTGATGCTCAAACTGCTGTGTTTATCAAGCCCTAAAAAGCTGATGTACGCCCCAAGGGTCGGCATGCCTGCCCACAGAAATCCTGGCAGAGCGACTAAAAAAAAAAATAATCCAGTTTTGGTCTTGGTTTAAGATTTGAACACGTGCACGGCCCGTACAACGTACTGTCGGCAGATGGGGCACTCGCTCATCCTCTTGCCGCACTTGGTGCAAGTGACCATGTGGCCACACTCCAGCAGGACGCAGTCGATCACGGCGTCCATGCAGATCCGGCACAGGTTATCATCGTTGTCATTCAGCTGCATCTTCTCACCCTCTGAAAACCAACAGAGAGGGAGGTCACGCCTTCAGGCTCTGGAACACCAGTTAAGTTCTGGCCCAGGCAACCACTAAAACACACGGCTAATTTAGCATGAAGTAGTTCTGTAACATGGCCACAATAGTTTTTCCAACCCACAGCTAAGAATTCCTTAAAGAAACCACCCCAAGAAACAAGAACTAGATAGCCCCTAAGTGGCTTCATTCTTTAAACTCAGAGACCATTTGCAGTTCAGAACAGAATGACTGTGAAATAATGTGTTGGCTTAAAATTCAGAGCATGTTGATTTTCCATCTCTGAGCTTATTTTGTTTGGCAGGACACTTCTCAGAAGATAAAAACACACCAATAACAAAGCAGACTAAGAAGTGGAAGCCTTAGGCTGGAGAGGTGGCAGAACTGAACAAAACCTGTCAAGTTTCATTGCAAATAGACAACATCCCCTATCAATAACTGAACGTTCCCTCAGACCATGTTGGAAAAAAAAAATAATAAAATTGTAAGTTTAAAGCTTTATTTCAGACAGGCTTTCAATTCTAGTTTATGACCAAACTGAGGGTCTCACTTCAGCTATGTTTTGACATTCCCTAACAGTCCCCCACCTTCGCAATCCTTCTCCACCCCAACAAACTGATCACCACAGTCCCTGCAGCGCACGTGCTGGCTCAGTCTGGCTGCGAAGAGGCCCAGTCACCACAGTCTCCTCTTCTTTACAGCCTGACTGCTGGATGCAGGAACAAAGAGCCAGGCAGGCTTTTTTGAAGCTGCTAATGACATCAAAAAGTTGTTCCTCAGATTATCCTTTCTGCACAGGAATCAGTCTGTGGAGGTACTACAGTCACACAAGTGAAAGACTCCAACTGTTGAGCGTAACAGGGCAGAAGTCACTGAGCTGCAGCCACAGAACCACCTTATCACGAGAACATGGACTGAGACCAAACCACTTGAACTTGGACTTCTGCCACCGTAGCTTTTAATTCTGTAGGGCAGTAAAAGACCTGAATTGCCTGGTCTGTTGACAGCTACTGAGAAGCTCTCTTGCTAATGCTTTGTGAAATCTAATAAAGGACACAGAGGTGCCAAGTTTCACGTTCTCTGAAGAGCTGGTTCTCAGCTGTGCAATTTTACCTTCACTGTGACAGCTGAGCTCTCCGAGCTTTGGAAAAGAGTCTCAAAAAACCAGCACAGTCCTGGAAAGCTTCATTTACTCACTACAACCACATTCAACTACTCTAGATGCACCTCAAATTGTAAAAAGCCACTTTCCAGTTGTTCCAGCTGAGCAGACCAAGTTAGATACCCACGTCCTGTTGGCAGAACCAGCTACTGGAAACCAGAAAGTAAGTAGTCTTAAGAAAATGAGAATTAAATATAAACTTACGCGTCTTGTGGTTTTCCTCGCTCTCTCTGTATAGTCTGCTCACTTTTTCCACAAGTTCCCATTTTTCACAGCATCCTGAGTAGTTGACAAAATTACACGCAAGTATTTCCTTCAGCTGCCGAACACTCAGCCCTTCAATGTCTTCCAGACTTGAAATATCAGACAAAGATGCCCTCGCTCGCTTTCTGGACAATCCAAGGGTCTGAAACACATCAATAGCGTGGTTTTAACTGTCTCAGTAAGTTCAGAGCACCAGATCTGGTGCTATGTTAAGCTGCAGCAACTTGGCTAAAGTTTTATTCTTTTTAAAATAAGTATTTGCAGAAATGCATTGCTAGACGCGGCTAATTCTGAAAGAAGTACAGTATGACAGTAAATGTTGACAGAGATCTAATAACTTTATGGTCACATGCCAAAAATTCATTCTTTGGATAGTTCGTATCTCACCTGCTCTTCTGCACTCTCTTCTTCTTCATTATTTATAGAAGATGTTTCAGTTTGTCCCTGCGTACAAAATGAAACTAGTCAGGATTAAAAAAAAAAAAATTATCCCTTCTAAAACAGTTTCTTTTGAACCAAACTCATGACAGATAACAATGACATTTTGAAGTTTCAATTGCTACTAATCGTTATTGATTTAAGTCACCTCTGTCATCTAAACTGGTAGCCTTATCTAGTAATCTTCTGTATTCAGGTGAGCGATACAAAAGGCATTTTTCCTGCCGTCCCGAGTCGTACCAATTGGCATTTTATTTTAAAGTCATGCATACCTATTAAAAGAAAAAAGCTAAAAAAAAAAAAAAAGCTATGCTGTACCACAAAACACATTTGAATTATTGTACCCGTAAAGGTGTTCCATTTCCTGCACTTCCCCTTCTGTTTGCAAGTTCTCCTTGTGAGGACACCGATACAGACATAGAAAATGGATGAGTAAAAAACCCCGTAGTCTGTGACCGTGACGAATGCAAGCTACTAGCGTCCATATCCTCCTCCGAACCTAATCCATGGTGGCACAGCACGAGATCCACCAAGTCTTCTTTCTCTCTGCAAGTATCTGTCGGTATGTTTCTGAGAATCAGATACTGCCGCAGATCCTTTACTTTCAATCTCATTAACTGAGGTCGCTGAAAGGCTGTTTCTTGCAGCAAGTGACAAGTGGAACATCTTCTGAGATTCTCTTGTAAGACTGAACAAACTGAGCAAAAATCCTTCTTGCAGTCACAACACATGTGCTAAGGAGAAAGACGAAATAAATAACCATTCAGTTGTATGCAAAAGAAAACAGATCTATACCCTGCTCTTTCCTTCTCCAGGCTATGTAATTTACTATTACTGTCTCAATTGTTGATTTTGACATACATGATTTTTAGTCTAGAAAACTGCCCAGTCAAATAGTTTTGCAGGTGTTCCAAGGCAGTCCCGCTTCTACAGTCAGCTGAGATTTGAGGTTTCAATGAGAAAACACTATGAATAAACAAATGAATAAAGTACTCAAGTGGTAGTTTAGACAATAAAATTGAAAGCCAGTCAATTTTATGGTATGTTAAAATACTTTTGAATATACTAAATGTCACTGCTTTTTTCACATGTCTAAAAACCAGCATAATCCCCAAACTTTAAAGAACATACTTCTTCCTCAATTGGCTCAAAGAATTCAAAGCAGGCCTTAAATGTGATGAATCACATGGTGGTTAAATACTCCCAAACGCCCAGCTGTCATTTCTGAAGAGAACTTTGTTCAAAAGACTCACTACAAAATACAAAAGCTAGAACAGGCAAGACTTTCAGCGGTGATTTTAAACGGTCATCTCATCCACTGTGAACAAAGCCAAACTCTTCAAGTTTTTCAGGATTTTAGTAAACTAATATTAGCTTCAGAAAACGTCCATACGCAGCCCTTACTTCAAGAAAGCATTTGCCATGTGAACAACAGGACACATAGGAAGAGGGAAACTGAACACACAAACTGAAGAAAGAGGCTTCATATTTATCCAAACGAGCTGCAGAGAATTATATCACTGAGTGGACAAAATAATGATGCTGGACAGTCATGATACGTAGAAATAATATTAACAATCTCAATTTTGTCTGTATTAATCCACCAATCTCCCTCAAATGAAGCAAGAGGCTGCTGGAGCGCAACAGCATTTAACAGAGCTAAACCTGGTTAGGAAACAAACAGAATTACACAAGTATTTCACAGAAAGAAGCTGTGATACTACACTGTGAGGTTTTATCTTTTCCATCATTCAGTTTGTCCCTTCCAGTATGTTTGGTATCACTTTTAAAACCAGATTTGTTTTAATGTTTAAGATTCTGAAGCTAAAACACGTATCTAACAAATTAGAATCCACTAATTTTTAGGTCAGACCAGATCCAATGTGTCACTGATTAATGAACATGAGACCTCTTAACTTCTAATCCTGTCTGACATTAATTTCCTGTGACTTCAGAATAAAGCACTTCCTCCCTCCCTGGCTATCTGACTTGGGTTTCCTTATCTAAGGAAAAATACACCTTCATCTCCCAGCACGCCTACAGATTCATTCAGATCAGTAAAAATACTACATAATAGGAAACATACTCACTTTTTTCCTAAAAACTGAAAAGGAAAGTCCACAGGCTTTGCAAACTATGTTAGCGCCTGCTGCAGCTGGAGATGGATATGCTGAGAAGTCTGTATTTGGTGCAAATCTGAATGGGCCAGCACCTCCCCCAAAGCCAGCCTGCTGGCCACGGACAGCTCCGGTACCCATGACTTCATTCAGCAATCCACAGCAGGAAGCCCACATGGAAGTAGCTCCCGCCTGAAAACAGTCACAAAACAAGAAAGAAAATTAATATCTGAAAACCCACATGAGATGTAACTTGCTATTGAAAACCTACTTCACTCCATCTGTCATCATCCCAAAAGCACGTGGTGTGAATTCCCGGAGCACCAGGAATTCCGTACAGTAACATCTTTAACAGCCCAATAATCTCTACTTCCCAGCTGCAAACCAAAGTAGGTACGATTTGCTTCAGAGATGATCACACAGGCACAAGGAGCTCACTTTCATAACTCATTTTCCAGCAGACTTCCGCACAAAAAGGGTAAGGAACAAAGAAGGAAGAGACTAACAGCCAGTCGTAGATGAGGGGCAAAACCTGCCACAATGACAGACAGCAATACAACAATTTATCATAATTAGCACAGAGCTGTGCCCTGCAGGATCTTCTCCAGAACTAATCCAGCTCTTATATGACTCACAATAAAACTCCCTCTAAAAAAAGAAATGTTTCTGGGTTTGAAACTTGAAAGTAGCAAACCAATCTTCATTAGAAACAGTCTAGTTTCTCTGAGAGGGAAATGTTTTTCAAGACCTCCCTGAACCTGCTGTTTTGTTGCCTTATAAAATGTCGAACAAAAATTAAAATAGCTCTAAATAAACTTATTCTATATTGATGGATTTCAGTTTGGAGTCACATAATTTAATCTTAAAACACTACAAAAAATTCTAAATACATAAACAAACTACTACTTTTTATCCTTGAAAGCCTTTAGCACTAGCTTCTCTATCAAAAGCACATATTCTACCTAAAGTTGGAATTTGGACTCCAAGTTGTTCAGGTCACATGTCTAATCACTGTCATGTGGCTTACTGAAACCTACTAAAAAAAAAAAAAAAAAAAAGGCAAACAGAGTCATATCAAGTTCCTTCTGAAAGGAAGCTGAGTGGTACAACTTCCTTTAAGCATTTTTTTTCATACTTTTTATCTTAATTATGCTGGTTAGAGCTGTTCTGTTTTTCATTCCAGGGCAGCTTCCCCCACCACCACCCTTTTTTTTTCTCTCTCCAAAGCATGAAGACATAAAATTGCTTTTGAGACTTGTAGTTCTGGCTGTAAAACCTAAACCAACCAGAACATGCACTTCAGCTCAGTAATGATGGTGCTTTAATTCCTGTAGAAACTAGACTAATTTCTATATTAAATTGCATATTTCCCCAGAACTGAACACAGTCCTGTTACAGTTGTGGGAACTTCACACAATAACTGGGGATATGCCAGAACGTCTCCTTTCGAACCACTGAGCACAAAAGGTAAGAAAAGAGTCCTCACTCCGGTTTAGAGAGAAGCCAGGAGAAACAATGCCAGGGAACCAAACATGTTCTACAACACCTTCATGTAAGTGCCTTAAGTATGGAACATCAAAAGCGCCTCTCCAAACCACACAAACCTGGTACTTCACTTTTACTGTTGCGAGCTGACATTAAAAGTGTTGCAATACAGCAAAATATTGAACATAGTCATTTTGCTTCTAAGCTGTACAACACATAAATAACATTGTGTGCAGTAATAACACCAAATATAGATGCAACAAATTAAATTCCCTACTCTAATTTTACAGATATTTCAAGAGCAAAATTCATCCCAGCCATAACAAGAAACCTGCACGCAGTGGGCACCCCATGCATAGGGGGAAAATCTTCCTAAGCTTCCTGTGACCGGAGTTCAAGGGAGACAAACTCCAGCAGCCCTTCCCTGACCTCCAGCCAAGACACAGGTAGCCCCAGCACGTGGCTGCGCTCACAGATACACCATGTGCTTGGAGCTTGCCTGACGTGTAATCAGACTTCCATGACAATCATTAAACTATCAAACTAAGACTTGCTTTCTACTTTTCAATAATAAAGAGTAGAAACAGATCAATATTCATTTTTCCTATACAAAACACGTTATGCATAATTATCCTAGTTTATTGGGCAAGAGTAATTAACTTTTCAGAAATACATTCTGCAAACCAATAACTTAATCCAAGAGAGCTCCAAGTTTTAAAACTCGGGACTTGTGAAAAAAATTTTTTCTTGTCTTAAGGGAAAGTTGTCAGTTGCAGAAACATTACTCTACTTCTTCACGTATTCTTAAAAACTGATGAGCTAGCTTTATATTTAAAAGATTTTAAAATAGCCACATAAAAATAACAGAAAAATAAAACAACGAACCAAAAGAGTCTGTCAGAATTCAACTTGCTTCATTATATGCCTATGGTCTTTTCAGGGGGTCACAGCAGCAGCAGGACACACAACAACTAAAAGGACATAACAGTTGCTACCACAACCGTTGCTTGATAGCTTAAGACCTGCTTATCAGACTTATTTTATCCAAGAGCCCGTAACAACTGCTCAGACATCACTGTTGACACTAAATAAATATACCCTTCGGAAATTTTTGTTACCCATTTTTGATACATGAATGTTGTTAGTATCAAACAGAAAGTCTCTTTACATTACTGCCAAGCATTCGGTTATGTTAAGGTGAAAGGTAAGGCAACACGGGCATCATTAATTCTCTCCTTAACCTAAGTCCGCTGTGGATTCTTTCTAAGCACTAGTGTCATTAACCAATAATTGAATTACAGTGTCTAGACTCTTCCTATTACACTGTAAAATAAATGAGACCATGCTGAAATGCACCAAGACACAAATGAGACACAGGAAAACAAGAACTCCCTCCCTTGAGAATTAGTTAAAATGTTGCCAATTTTGCACCCAAAGCCTTTCCAACTTCAACAGCCAACACTTCCATATTCTCTTCTCACAAGCTGCCATCAGCTATCTTCCCTCTCTGTACCTATTAGGGCAAAATACTGCGTTTGACCTTCTCTGCTCTTGTTTTTGGCTTTAAGGGTGTTCAGTAACCTGATGAGAATTTCACCTCAGAAAGACACACACACACACCCCCCCCAAGCAGCGGGGAGGCTGTATGCTGCTCCTTACACCTCTGTGCAAGCAGGATGTGCTATCAAAGCCAGCTGAGCAGCAGAATATATTTTATTCTTTTTTTTTTTTAGCTCAAATTTCGTCTTTACACCCACCCTGAGATGAAGCGCTCCTCGAAACCC